AAACGAGATGATCTTTAAGTCCCCTCCAAACCCAAACTATTCTATGATTCTATGATTCCTCTTGGAAACACCGCACTCAAGACACTGAGAAACAACTGTGGGCGACCAGGGTAACAGCCAGTGAAACCCAGTGCGGTGCCGCTCCCCCGTCACTCGGCCACAGAGACGCCCTTGGCAGAGTCCTCTCACCTCCTCCGGCATAATTACCTCTTTCCTCTCCACGTCAGCCTGGATTTTGGCTTGGGTGATAGCGGCCTCGCGGAAGGAGGAGCTGGCCTGCTTGGCCTGTTCGATGAGAGTCTTCAGCTGCTGGGCGGTGTTGAGCAGCGAGTTGACCATCTCTTCCAAGTACAGCCAGCTCCGCTGCTCCGTCACTTCCAGCCCGTTCACCACCGAAGGGGATATGGCTTTGGTGGGGGTGGTGGGGGGCACTGCCAGGGCGGGGAGCGAGGTTAACACTGAACAGGAAGAAAAAGAAAGAGAATATATAGCATTGGAGCATTTAATTTCCAGAAAGTGGCGGGGCAGGGGGGTAGATTGTGTGGGGTTGGTTTTGGGGGGTTTTTTGGTGGTGTTTGGTTGCTTTTTTTAAAAAACATGGTCTGCAAAAATTTCCAACCTGGCTAAATTTTTGCCAAACAGACCTACCTTCTGTAAGCCAAAGGGCACAGAATCAGCCTGTGCAGAGCAAGCCTCAGGGCACTCCCAAACCCACAGGGTGGAAGCACACGCACTCCCGACCCTCTTTTTTACGTTGGGAGGAGGTAACACCCCCACACCGCAGAGAAGCACAAGTAAGCAGCAGAAACAGCATCCCCAGGGACGACTCCGCCACCACCACGACGACGTTTCCCTTAACCATCGCTAAGTGAGGTTATGAGAAGTCACTCAGAGACCCAAAACTTCTCTGAGATACCCCAATCTCACTCTGCAGATTCAATCCTCAGGTGGCAAAACCAGAGACAGCAGGCAGGGCTCCACACCACACTGCTCCACACTTCTTGAATTCTGACCTTAACCATAACCCTGGCCCAAGGCTGGGCCTAACGCCAAGCCAATTATCGTCACCTCGGAATTCCGTGCGTTGAACGTGGCTTTTCCAAAACCACCGACTGGGGGGAGCTTTAAGAAAACCCTCAAGAACTGTAATTTCTTTGGACGTCTTCACCCTGGATCCTAGGGTGACACCAGTTATGGCCCTACACATACACAAACCGCACTGCAACACCCACGGTTTTCTAACAGGTATTCGCAGTTGAGCTGTTCCAAACACCCCAGGCATTCTGAACAGCAGTGCTCGCTGCGGCTCTGAAACCTCTCCATGCCCGACCCCCAGGGCGAATGGTTGCTCACAGCCCTGATGGAAGCATTGGCTTCTGACACGAACACCTCCTGGTATTTTGGATGGTTGGAGTTTTCAGGAAAGGAATTTCTTGTCTATGGCCCTTTGCTCCAGAGGCCTACCGACAGCTCTTCCCTCTTGTACAGACTGGAATGGCACAGGCACGAAATGAAATATAAAAGCCCGGATGCCCAGCAGTACGTGTGAATGGACTCCACGGGACATTAAAAGAAGAGGGAACCCCCAGCATTTACTGACGTGCTGCAGCCTTTACTTTTTCCTGTCCCAGCCAGAACCTCAGCGTCACTGCAGTCTGGGGGAAGGCAGTGCGAAGCTTCGCTCCTCCCCTGGTAACCTAATCACACCTTCCCTGCACTTACGCCAAGCCCCGCGCTCCGCAGTCTTCCCTTTCCCACAGCCTGCGTTACAAAAGCCAGCTCCTGGGAACCAACCGTGGCACTCCCGGCTCTACCTCTGAAATGTTTCAACGCCCCAGCAGTTACGTGTCACTGCCGCGGCTGCTTTGCACACCCCTGGGTATACACTTGCACACGCACCCGGAGACCACAGGTAGGAAATTTGATCTGGACGCAGGAACCCAACGCTACGCAGCGTCAGCTCACCGCAGGCAGCATGTCCAGGACCAAACGCCTTTCCTGGCCTCACGCCTCCAAAACTCAACCCTAACTCCAGCAGTAAATACTCACCGTCTGCCTCAAAATTAAGTCCAGGACATTTCCATCGCCAACACCCCACCTCTAAACTGTTCACTAGAAAGAAGGGGGCACCGCCAACTTTGGGGCTGGGCAGTCCTATTATCCCAAATCTACTAATAGTCTGACTCAGGATTTGTACTGACATCTTTAGGTAGGAATTTCAGTGCTGCTGAACACCCCAACAATGTCCTTGAGCACCTGTGAAGTGGCACTGACCACTGTTTCCATTAAAATGGACCATTCCTGGAGTCTGACAGGCACTTTATTATCATGTCCGTAGTTACCGATCTCCCATCACAAGCCGTTTCGGATGTCACCACCTTCCCAGTCGCGCTGGTCTGGCTAAGGTTGGTTGCTCCAAAAAGAAAGAGAAACTGGTCCCAGAGCTCTGTCCCAGCAGGACAGGGAAGAGCAAACTGCACAGCCTAGTGAAACACACAGGGCAGCAGCCCCCTCCCAGTCAGGAAAAACCTTCCTGATTACACCTCAAACGGTACCTAAAACTCAGCTGTGCAGGTAAAAATCAGCTGTCAATATCGTCCTGAACAGCCACAGGCCAACACACCTTCCTGGAGCAGGCTGCAGTTCTCAGGGTCACCTCCCCTTAGCAAAGCATCGGCCGGCAAACCAGCCCTGGCAGGACCACACCGAGTATCCCCCAGACAGCAACTCCTCTACACGCACTAATGCTCCAACCTTTGCCACGCCTGGCAGGCCTCCACGCAGGCAGCCGAAGCTGAAGGAATCCACCTGGAGAGAGACCGAGACGCGTGACCTCTCTGCCCTTCGCCACACGGGCATTTCAAGCTCAACAGCCCTTCGTTAAATTAGAGATTTCAGTCAATTTGCACGTGGCCGGCGTAGAACTATTTGAACTCAGATATGAGGACGAGATAAACCGGTCTGTTACCAGGAGCTGTCAGCAGAGAAGCCTTCCCCAGTGCTACGTTTCCCGCACGGTATTTATGACAGGATGGCATTTGATAACTTATCTAACGGGAATTACTTCCGATTCCTCGTTCTGGCATAGGTAAAGTTAAAAAAAAAATATCAGTGTTTAATTAGTAACATCAAGATGTGACTAAGGCTTAAACCCAACAACGTTTCACTATCGACAGGCAGGAACGCACCACGTCGCACCAAGGAAAAGAAAAGGTCGTACGGAGGGAGAACACGGGCAGCAGGAAGAAGGACTTCGGGCCGCTCAAAGGAATGGGACCTGTTTACACGATCCTGTTCTGAGAGAACAGGGATCAAAACCTGCCAGTGTCCCAGCCCTGCCGAGGCCGCAACATCACTAGGAACCAGAGTGACTTCACGGATCGCAGGAATCGGGGAAGCCAAAGGCCTGTCAGGTGCCTCGTCCACCCGCCGGCCCCCGGCAGGCTGTTCCCTCTGTCCTCTCGCCCAGATTGACACACGTAAAGCAAGGCCGAGACTCCAAGCGTGCAATCCCAGCTCCTGCAACACTTCCAGCTCCTATCAGCACAGGCAACACCCACGTAGCACTGTAGTTACCTGTCAGTCAGCTCGGCACACGACAGCTCGTTACGGTCACGAAATCTAATTCCATCTGAGGAGATACCTGATAAGCAGTTTAACCCGTCCTACCAAACACCACAGGGCTGATTTGCATTTCTCATTTTTCACCCCTTTTTGTGCTCCGGAGCCGATCTGGGGGGCAGGGGAGGCTCTCACCGGTGCTGATTAACCAGGTCCCGTCATTCCAGCACAAACGTCTGTGTCAGGGGATGGAAAACTGACATGGGATGCGAGAGCAGGACAGCAACCTGCCCAAACTGCCTCCAGCAGGAACCAGTGGATTCAGAGCCGCAGGAAGTTTAGGAAAGCTTCTGTGACATGATTTTAAAGGGGACGGTCTCAGCAGGTCAAAAACTAAATCACTGTTTGGCCACAGTGGTGACAAAAGCCCTGAAGCAAAAGCCTTGGGAAGGGCAGGGATCCACGAGACGATTCAGGGAGCAGGATCACAACAACCTCCCCCGGCAGAAACCAACACATCAAAGCTGTCAATAATGGAGGGAGAAGCTTCCCACCGAGCGGAAAATCTCTTTGTCCAAACCTTAATAACCACAAAAATCTTAAGCAAAACAAGGAAAAGTTTAGTTTTCGGCCTCTCCTTGCTGAGAAGGAGGATTAGAGAGGAAGTTCAAGCACCGCTAGCTGTGTCTGGCGTGACGGACATAAAACATACCGATTTTGGGATGAGATGTTGGCAGCGCAGCTTCAGGAAAAGGGGAGATCTGACAGTTGTCCTGGTAGCTGGGGTAGTGAGGTTCCGGGTGACTGACACGGCAAGGCTGCTGGACACTGGTATCCTGAACTGCAGAAGAAGAACGGCGTTATGAACCGTGTCACACGGCTGCCGGGCATTCCTCAGGCTTCTTCCCTTAGTTTTCTTACCTTTCACACCAGTTCCTACACTGGATGGCAATACCAGGGGTTACAGGTGAGAAACAAGTGAGGAAGGCAACCTGGCACTGACTGCACCTCTCCCTGCTTTCCCTTCTAAAGGCAGACTACTGCTGGCTTCCCTCCTGCTCCCCCATATTTACAGGAATCGTAGGACTCCCAGCTCCGGTTCTCAGAGCGGGACGGTTCCCTCAGCAGGGCTCATGACCCCACGGGTGAATCCAACAGCAATCAATGTCATACATTTAGATTTTGGTTGATTAATTCCAGCATTTTTTACTTAGTTTCAACATTCAGCTACTTTTCTCTTTTTTTGGTAGTATTTTAGGGCAAAGGAGTGAAAAAAATGGCAGAGATAACCATAAACCCTGAGAAATCTCAGAATCATGGAATGGTTTGGGTGGGAAGGAACCTTAAAGCCCCCCAGTCCCACCCCCTGCCATGGGCAGGGACACCTTCCATAGCCCAGGGTGCTCCAAGCCTCATCCAGCCTGGCCTTGGACACCCCCAGGGATGGGGCATCCACAGCTTCTCTGGGAACCTGTCCCAGTGCTCCCACCCTCTGCGGGAAGAATTCCTTCCTGATGGCCCATCTCCATCTCCCTCTTTCCGTTCAAACCCGTCACCCCTTGTCCTGTCACTCCCTGCCCTTGGAAACAGTCCCCCCGGCTCTCCCGCCGGCACAATCAGCAGAAGTTGACATTAGCAGCTGCAACATCTGGACAGAACCAACGTCCTTTGTGCAGCTGGCAGGATTTCAAGCTGCTGATGTGACTTCAAGGGAAGGGCAGCGGGTTACGTACAGTCTCTCTGTAAGCTCTGGAGAAAGAAATCTTTCCTGCAGCACCCCAAATACTTTTTCCTCTAGCAACGGGCATCCAAACCCTTTCACTCCGTTGCAGGGATGTGCGGAAGACATAGACCTGAGCCCTTACCAGCAGCTCCCGTGAAAACGTCGCCCTGGGACGGACTTTCCGAGATAATCGCTGTGGCTTCCACGGTCGATGCACGGTCAAATGTCAGAGCACCGGAGGTAGTGATCTGTCCAGAAGGAGTCACGGTGACTGGAAATATTAGAAGCACTTTCATAATTAACACTCAGCGCGGAGACCTCGGTTGTTCAGCTGTTGATATCCCTGCTCTGAACCATCCAGAGAGCTCACAGGGCAGTAGATGGCCCTGTGATGACCCAAGCTGGGATCACCTCCAGGACCAAAGCCATTGGAAATGGGAATAACAGCCCCGTTTGGCTTCCAAAGGCACTGCTGGCCTCCTGCGGGCCTGTTTACTATCTGGGTGTAGGAGGCCAGAATGTTCACTTACAACATACCACATCCCCGATCACACCTTTCCAGGTCCAGTGGGGCCACAAAACCCATCGGCTCCTGCCTCATCCCAATTTACTACAACTTCAGCAAGCGTGGTTCTTGCTTCTTAAATCACCACCTGTGGATTACGACTAATTCTCCAGCAGTTTGGTCAGCTGGACCATTTCTGTCTGTCTACAGAGCGGCCAACGCAAAGAACGAGTCACAGAACCCCTTTGGATGAATATACCCGAGTGAGTTCAGAATGTTTAAACCCCTTTTTAAAGGGGATTCATTACTGTGGCACCACGACTGGGCAGTGGGCTGACTCTCTGGCACCCTGCTCAGCCCTAAGAACAACTCAGTGGGAAGACGTTGAGGCTACAGATCCACGCCTGGTGAAACGTGTGATGCTACCACGACAGTGCTCCTCCCTCCCGCTGCCAGCACGAGCGAACACGCAGCCTCGCAGCACCTCGTGTTAACGAACCAATACACATTAAACCTCTTCGGGAGAGAAAAACACCCCAAAGCTCTACGGGAACCTGGTGTATGCCTATTGCTCCTGCTGCGAGTAATCTGATCTCACTCCTGGCTGCTTATCTGGGGCTTTCTGTTGCTTCCTCCTCGACTCACCCTGTAACACCACCATCCTGGCGACGCTGGTGTGATGAGAAGACACAGGAATGTGACGGGGAACATGCGAGCTGGATGCGCTCACGAATTCATTTCTGTTCTCACACAGATGGTTTGACAGTCACACCCAGTACCAGAGCGTGTCCTGAACGTCACAGAGGCCTTTGCAGATGGAGGCGGCACCTTCTGCCTCTTCCATTACCCACCTTGAGGCCGCGGATGTCATCCCACCTGCTCAGGGCCTGCTTTGCTGCGTATTTCAAGACACAGCACAAATCTCACTGCTCCACAGCCCTCACCAGCTTCTAAAGGACAAAACCAAGCTCCGGGCACGGATCTGGGGCAGAGCAGAGAAGGGCCAGCCTTCCCCTCAACCTCATTTTACCAGGAGGGAATTTCTCAACTGCCGTTTGTGAAAATCCTACCGGCAACCCACTACGGATCCACAACTGCCCTGGCACTGCCATGCTGAGCGTGCAGGTAGAGGGGGGAATCTAACCCCGGCCTCTCTCAGAACAAGACATGAAACCTACTGCTCACTGCAAAAGGATGTTAAGACACTTAAAACCGAGTCTCCTGGAGGTCTGGAGTTACACTTTTGCCCACTCATCTGCAGTCCCAGCATGGCAACACCGTGCTACTTCCAAAAACGGGAAACGCACTAAGCTAACGACACCGAGCCAAGAAAACCATCCCTTGAAAAGGCAAAAAATGAGATGTTTTTCTTCGCTGGCTGGTTCCACGGGGCCACCAACGGACAGAAAATACCTAGTGTGGCAATTCTCCATCAGGGAAGGGAAGCCGTTCTACCCAAGAACCTACAGGTAGTAGCAGCCGTGGCGGGAAGCAGGGTGATGTTTTTGGGGCAATCCTTCTTCGCGGGAGTCGCAGGTATTTCGTTTTCTTTTTTCCGCCTTTTATACGGGACAAAGAGTCGTACAGGGCCGCTCTAGGCAAAACACAGACACAAAGGAAAAGGCAAAGGGAAAGGCATTAGCTGAGGCACCTCTCCAGGGAGTGTGGGTTCACCTCGCGCCGTTCCAGATGCACTGAGGTCAAGCAACGTGTATTCCCATGTTGCTTTGCAACAACTGGCCAAAAAATTACTTCCCCAAACTAGAACTGTGAAAATAAAGTTACGCCCCACTCCCTCCAGCTGAAGGGGCACAGATCCAGCCTCTTCCTGCTACTGCTGAAGGAGCAGAACTGGGCAAGTAACTGTCTGCTGGGCAAGGTGGCAGGAAGGAAAGAGAACCCGAGCGAGGACGGGACAGGAAGCAGTTCATTTCAGGTCTAGGAAGCAAGCAAATTATCCAGTTCAGAGCAGAAAGGAGACGCAAAACACTGCCTGAAGTCAAGCTAAAGACCTGTGCTTTCAGGACTCTAACCCCGTGTTTAAATAAGCAAACAAGAAACCAAACCCAAAACCAACCTAACAAACAAAAACCCGAGCACTTAAATATGAAAGTAGACATGGAGTACTGCTTTGCTTCCTTATAAAAACTTTTTTTCCTACTCAAAATCCCTACTTTTGAGATCCCCAAAAGGCACTTGACACAAATACCTTACTGAGCAAAGAATAAAACAAAGAAGAAAAAGGCAGTAACCATTACCCAGTTTTACTGAGGCCACTACCGACAGTTCCTGGCCTCCCTTCTTTATGAAGCGCGGACGGAGCATGCTGCAGCCACGGTCCAGTGAACATTTCTAGGACACGTGTGACCCGCTCGGCAACAGCCGCGGCAGCTCGACCCCTCAACCGGTTTGAAAGGAAAGGGTGTCAAACCCACAACTCACCAGAGTCATGTCGTCGCAGCAAGCAGCACAAGTGCAAGAGGCAGCGTGAGGATTTAAAATCCCATCCTGAAATGAGAAGAGTGGTCGTTCAGCACCAGCCTCACCAAATCCACGCAAAGCACGGCTGGATTCTGCTAAAGGATGCAGGGAGCTCCAGAGAGACGGAATTCCCTCCTAGGGAGCCTGTGCAACAACACAGACCACCTCCCCTATTTCATAGCGATGGGGTGAGCGAACAGGAGAGTGAAGGAAAACCAAACAATTTTCACATCAAAAGGCAAGGATATGAGAACTTGAGACTTTATAATCAACTGCTAACCCAGTGGCAATGCCAAATTCTCCATGAGACTCTGGGCCACGGCAGAAAACGAAGGACCAAAGTAATAATAAATGGTGTAAGTGAAGATGTGCTTGTCAGGCAAACAGAAGGAAGCAGATCGGGTTGCTGAATTACGGCATCACTGGTGAGAGCTCACTTCTCAACCTCTGTGACACAGGTCAAGGCTGGATCCATCCCACCTAACCTGGAAACCCTTTGCCAGTACAAACACGACTTGTATGGTGCTATTTGAAAGCACATCTAGCAAAACTCCTCTCACACGACTGATTCTCAACCAAACCAAATCGTTGCTCCCGAGTTGGCCCACAGCACCATCACACCTAACTCTGCGAAGGCGGCACACACGGCCTGGGCCTGGACTCTGCCCAGACTCTGCCCGCCCCTACCAGCAGCAAGGAGGAAGCAAACGTAACCTTACGTGAATGAGGCACTGCAGCGGCCTCCCGGCATAGCGGATGCTCCTCTTCCAGTCTTTGCTGCTGGCTCGTCCCGCCATAGCTTCAAATTCAGTGGGGCTGTACCAGTTGTCCCCCTGCTTAATGCACCTTCCACGGCCTCCTGAAATAAAACAGAAAAAAGAAATTGGTAGTAAAGGTTATGAATCATTTCTGCCACTTTCCTGAAGAAGTAAACACTGAAATTGTTGGACAAAACTGCTGTTAATCTATAGCAATCCCTAAAGGTGCCCATCTGCTACTTCTCATCCCTCTAGGAGAACCATGCCCATTCATTATCTTGGCTGTGACAATGACTGTGTGTGTTTAAACAGCTCCAACTTTGAGCCTCCCCAGTGCATCAAAAGGCTGGAAAAATTTACTCAACCACAAGAAGGATAAATCTGTCTTGCATAAACACCATGAATTTAAGCCTTTCCTTAATTTGCACTTAAATTTCTAGTCCTTCTGGTGGTGACGAAAACTCTGCATCCAGACAGCAAGC